CCCCAAAACCCCAAAACCCCAAAACCCCAAAACCCCAAAACCCCAAAACCCCATAAAATTTGGAGTTGTTTGAAAATCTTATAAATTTAGATTAAAATGGATTTCTTCAATCTATTCTGCCTCAGCTGGCTTGACCTATTGTTCTTCCTTGCTATTGGAGGAGTTATTTATATGAAGAAAAGATCAAATAAAGCTAAAAGAGCCAAGAATGGAGACTTTAAAGGGAAGAAAATTCTCATCACTGGTGGCACTAGTGGTACGTCATCATTTGCCTTTTGCAAAATTAATTAAACTCATAGGGATTGGAAAAGCACTGGCTGAAAAGTTCTCAAAGCTTGGAGCCAATGTGATTATTACAGGAAGGGATGACAAGAAGTTGCAGGAGGTTTCTAAGACAATTGACAGTAAGTCCCCAATTCTTCAATACTATATAATTTATAGAATGAGAAGGATATGTCCTAGATATGGAAAATCCTGAAGAAGTTGAGAAATGGTGAGAAAATAACACTAAGAACCTTGGAACTCTTGATGCAGTCATTCATAACGCTGGTCTTTCAATGAGAGACCTGTTCATGAATACAGAGATTAAGCTAGGCCAGAGGTTGCTCAATGTTGACTTCCTGTCTATTTTTGCAATGATCCAAGGTCTTATGGGAAATATGAGAACTGACGAGCAAGGTAGTGTGATCTGTGGAATTGGATCCTTAGCTGGGGTCAGTGGAGCAGGTGTTAGGTCGATGTATTCAGCAATTAAGGGAGCAAATGACGCCTTCTTTAAGTGTCTTGCTTGTGAAATTAGAGATAAGAATATTCATTCAATGATAGTTCATCCTGGATATATCCAGACAAATGTTTCACAGAATGCGTTAGTTGGAGACGGTCAGAAATCATTTGGAAAAACAGACTCCAATATTAAAAATGGACTTCCAGTAGAGGACTGTGTTAACCAAATTATTGACAGCATTGGTACTAAATCATAATTAACATATAGTATTGAGAAAGACCGAAGTATGGGTATGCAAAGGCTTTGGAATGAAGATATTGATGTTTATCTCAAAAATATTCCCTTCCTTCCTTGATTATGGACTCTACAAGAACTTGAACCAACAATTATCAGCACTCAAGAAGGCTTCATAGAATAAATTTCAATTATTGCCTCTAAAATCGGGGTTTTGGGGTTTTGGGGTTTTGGGGTTTTGGGG